CCAAACCCACCGAAAACCCAAGTGCTGTCCTGATTTCAAATCGCTAACCATGAAGCATGACTCTTTCTAGTTGTGATGTCTGCTAGTAGTTTTAATGAGGTAAACTAGATACAAGAGGTGCATCTCTGCATTGCAGCCTGAGTAAACAGGAGAGGGATACAGCCTTAGGAATTCTTTGTAGACAGGATTGAGCTCAGAAGCCTAAACCAACAAGCAAGTATCTTTCTTTTCTTTTTTTTTTTTAAGAAAATGAAAAAGTACCCTTCCCACCCTTTAAAGGTTTTCTCTGCTTTTACTCTCTTATTCCTGTGTTGAAATAATCGATACTTAATCTTGATTATTTTTTTGAGACCTTGAATGTCTTTGTAAGTGCTGAATTTTGTTTATGATTGAAGGAATACAGTAAAACATCGCATAATCTAATCTTTTAAAATTTACTGTCAGCTTAGGATTTCATTGTTAGCCATCTTTAACTTTATTCCGTTTTAAAAATAAGTTGATAAATGATATTATTACATTTTGAGTACTGTGCTTTCAGCGCTTTGAGAAAAGAAATGTGCTTGTAATTGACAAGCTGGAAAAGATAGAATTGGTGGTTATTAAGATGTGAAATGTGTTTGAAAATAGCTGTTCATTTCGTCAGGCATGACACGAACTAGTGGAGGCATTCTTGCTGAAATTATATAATTCAATGTACCTATTAGTATGAAAGCATGGTGTCAGCATGTAATTTATCACCCTGTTGTAATCCTATTAAAAAACCCCCCAAAACAACAAAAAAACCCAACCAAACAAAAAAAAACCCACTCAAAACCAAACCACACAAAGTCAGTCAGACACTAATTTAATAATGTGAATTATAAAAGCATGATATGTAAGCTGTAGAACAGTTGGTGGAATTTAAAGCTGTTTCTCCTGTACTTTAATGGATTATTCTCTGCGACAATGAGGCAGTAAGAAAAAATTCAAATAATGTTTGGTGATTTTGGTTCCAAGAGCTCAAACATGCTCAAAAGCACTTAAAGTTTGTTCCAGTATGTGTACCACACAAGATGAGTTATCAGTAGTATATCATGCGTTGCTAGTCATATTCCACAAATATCTTTAAAGATTATTAGAAAGTGAATTCCTTAGCAAAAGCTTTTCAATGTTGCTAATGGGTTTTCTCATGATTTTCAGGTATCTTATATTTTACTGCCCGCAAGACATATTCTACCAGTGCTTTGCCTTTCTGCCACTTCGGCTTCTGGTTGCAGGAATGAAAGAAGTAACTAGGACTTGGAAGATAACAGCTGGGATTGCACATGCAGACAGTCACTTCAAAGACGCCTGGCTTGTCATGGTAGCTGTGGGCTGGGCCAGAGGTAACATGCATAATATCTTATTCTGATTGATTTTGATGTTTTGGAGTGATATTTAAATGGCTAGCCCTTCAGCGTAACTGTAGCACCATTCCTTGCTGTGCTGGATATGATCCTAATACAGTCTGTTACCTCCTCAAGGGAAAAGCCTGTGCGGCAGTTTTTGTGCCTGGATTAAGGGTGACATTGAATAACTTTGAGGGAAGTTCATCTTATCCCTTCAGAAGGTCTTGTGAGGACTTGTAGGATGGGGAGTTGATGGCAATAAAGAAATAGATCTACCGTGTAGCTTCAGTGCTATTAGTAAACTTTCCAACAGCATATTTCCTCAGAGCTGTTTTCCTTGCATGTGGCTAAAAAAGAGAACTCATTTTCTTAGCTTTTTTGGTTGTAACCATTAGCTGATTTTAAACACAGGAATGAACCTTCTTGCCTGCCTGCTGTTTGGAGTATGACTCTGGAAGCTACCTTTCTAGCAGCTGGATTTGTAGTCACAACATTAGAACCACTTCAGGAAGTAGTAGTGCAGCTCTTGTTTCTATTTACTTGATTCTTTTCTGCTTTGGGAAACAAGACATGTTAATGTGATGATCTAACGTATTCTTTTCCCAGGTTATAATACAGATCAGTCTCATTGGCCAGAGTGTCTAACACCTCCTTATATCTTGTATTCTTTTAATGTAAAAATACATATCCGCTATGTTGCAGAGGGTCCTCATAGTTTATAGAGACACTCTCTGTACTTACGTGATGACATGAAGGAAGGATGGAATGATATAAGCCTCTCTGGAGATTTACTTTGGCAGTTCAGATATTTGTTTGTAGTGATGAGAGCATCAATTCAGATGCTATTGTATAAAGGTGAACCTGAGGTTCTTGCTATGTAGCTAAACTTCAGAGGTTTCACGTTGGTCACGCAAGTCATGCACGTCTAAAAGATTGGATTAGTCTCCTTAAGTCTGAGCTTTGGGTGCCACATTTGGCACCTGGCGTAACAAGTTTTGCTGGAAGCAATAATATGTTGTGCAGTAGCGGTAGCAGTCAGTGGAGGCTAATCGTAAATCTCTGCAATTTCAGGAGCTGGTGGTGGCCTAATTTCCAACTTTGAGCAGCTGGTGAGAGGAGTGTGGAAACCTGAAACCAATGAACTACTGAAGATGTCCTAGTAAGTTTTTAAAAAAGACTGCAACATGTTAACTGTTGTTTTGCTAATTCCTTGTGTTAACACTCCCTTTTAGTGGTTCAGACTAAAAAAAAAGCAGTAGGACATGTTTGTACTCATTGTTTTGGTGTGTATCTTGTGAAAGATTGGTTGATGATCATCAGTAATTTTAGCAGATGTTTTAATCATTTTAGGTTCACAGAACAAGAATGCCAAATGGGAAGACGAGTCAACAAAAATTATTTGGCAGAAAGCAATATTGAGTGATGAGTAGGAAGTTGCTGGAAAGCAGTATTGACTCAATTTGCCTTACAGGGACGTGGTCTTCTATCCAAAATGAAAGGACAGTGGTAGCAGAAGTATACGTGTGAAGTCTGCTTTTTTGGTGCATGCTCTGAGCATCACTAAGATGGCTTCCTTTGAGCATTGTCACTTTTACTTTCTCTGCCAGTACTGTTTTGCTCCATAGATATCAATTACTGGAGAAGGTGCAAATTAGTTATTCAGTATAGCAAAAATGTACTGCAAGATAGGAAATGTTACTTCTCTTGCAGAAGCAAAGAACGGGAATATTACATGGCTCCTGGTTTAGTCTGTACAGTAAAATCTGAATTGAGACACAAGAAAGTCACAAGCTACTGTTGTAAGTCCAGATAAGCTCACTGTAGTAACTTCCTAAAATTTGTTTGATTTTTCCCATGTTACTCTCAAGTCTTTAGAAATAATATTGTAATATTCTTTTCTGCAGTCACTCTTAGCAACCGAATAACAAAAGAGAAATTTGTGGCTTTTCCTTTGGCAATTTTTCAACTTTTTACGGCTTATGTTAGTTGTTGGCTTTTTCTGAAATTCCAGATATTTAGAATTTCTCTCCCTCTGTCAGTGCCTAAGTAGCAGTCTTCAAAGCAGAATTCCAGAAGGAAGAGGTCACTGTCCATAATAGCACTGTGACCCCAGATAACACTGCACTTTACAGGTGCAACACTATAGCAGTGCTTACTGACTGTGGCAGCGCTTGCATATATTCTCCTTCTCCATGGTGGATGTGGCTCAAAATAACTCAAAAAGGATTTTAAAAATTCTGTTTAATATATAAAGCTTGAGAATATTAAATAGAAGTAAGTTACAAAGTTAAACGGATAAAACATTCTGCAAATTGATGAGATGTCTGTATGCACAGAGCTGTTTTTTGGACTTCCTGAGCAGCAAGTTGATGCAGTAAATTTCTGAGTTACTGAAAAGACAGTGAAGAATGTGTCTACACTAGATGGTCTGTGGTAACAGGAATGTCACCTGTACATGTCACATGTAGATGCAGATTAAGAAATGCACAGAATTTTTCAGGCAGTATATTAGTGCTCTCTCTTCAGATGACTTTAGATAACTGACTGAAGTTCTCTTGTTTTTTGACTGCATACCCACCAAGGGATTTACCACCACAATGAAGATAGCTAGAAGATGTCAATCTTTGCATGTCTCAAGTTAATACAGCTGTGTTCACAAAACCTGGTAACATAGGCCTGGCTCAAGTCAAGTATACGCTGACTACAGCCCTACTGCTGGAGTGTCACAGTGGACTGAGGCTTGGACTGTGTTGTTCTTCAGCACCTCAAATACCTTCTTGAAGTAACACCTGGAGTATAGGAGAAGAACCCGTTTTTAAGTCTAGTCCGAGTAGTGCAAGCTTTGTGATTTAACTGTTCAGTAAGATATACTGGGAGAAGAAGAAGGGGAGCAAGCTGACATATAGACTCTGAATAGAGGCATTGATTTGAGGAGAATTGGTCAAATATGAGTTTGCTGGGTCAGTAAAGTAGTGCTGAACTTGATGCTTGTCCATATTATGGACAGAAGGTGTAGTAATAGTATGTAAAGTGAAAATTTTAGTTATAGCAAGGTTTTGGACCTTGTCACTGTTACCACAAGTATTGATTAGTTCTATTCCGAAATAATTCTTTTTGCACACTAATAAAATTTATTGCTTTCCAGGCCACGGCAGAGAAGAGAAATTCACTGTAGAGAAGAGAAATTAACATTGTTTGTTTGATTTCTAGCCCTGTGAAAGTAACTTTGATAGGAGCAGTTCTTTTCACCCTGCAACACAGCCAGTACTTGCCAATAGCAAGACACAACCTCATGTTTTTATACACGGTCTTTCTTGTTGTCTCCAAGGTAAGAATGTGAAAGTGTTGCAAATAACTGAGTAACAGAAAATATTTTATTTCATTATTTCAGAGCAAAAAGTATGCCCTCAACCATTCCACCACAAGTTAGAATGCATGCTTCTGGATGGGAAGGCCAGCTCCCACTGAAGTCTTAAACCTGTGTTCAGTCTTCTATACGTGAGCAGAAGACCTGTTCTGTTAACGATACTGTTCAAGGGGGCGGCGGGGAGGAGGAGGGGAAGGAAGTGAAAAAAATTAGGAATTTTGACACCCAACAGTTGATATGCCAGGCTTGTAGGACCATAATCTCAAACAAAGCCTATGCTTGTAGAAATAAACTCTCCTCTTCTCTGATTTTTGTTAGCTGCTTAATGCCTTCCTTGTACCTGGGCAGTCATTGGTGGGTATGCAAAACAAGCCAACTAGGTTCTCATCTAGCTTTAAGTGTTTGCAACATAAGCGTTTAGGTAGGAAGATAAAGTGCATCAAACCCACTTTGAAGTAGCTGTAACTACTTTTATAATAAAATAGATACTACTTCTCTATTGAATCCTTTAATCCCTCCAGTCTAGTTTATTTCCAGGATGACACCTGTCTTCAGGATTATTCGCTAATAAGACAGCGTAGTCTCTGTGTTAGCAGAAGTCTGGTGATTTTAAGAGCTTCAGAGCTGCTGTTGAACAAACTAGAGACTGTCTTAAAGTGGTGGTTGCCAGTCTGCTTTCTGTGAAGTAGTTAACAAGTTTAATTCTAGTGAAGTTGCTTTAGGTAGCCAAGACTTCAAGCTGATGCTCATGATTCTCCACCTAAACCAATAAATGCATTGTTGAACTGGGGATGTTGGGAATGGAGAAGGAACAGAATGTTATTCTAGAAGTGAGAAATTACAGCTGTCTTCAGAAGCTGGCTGTCAGGCCGCACTGAAGTGACTACATTCTTAAACTGATGGTCATACTAACAATCAGGAACTTGAGCATCCACTTAACTAATAAAAAAACCAGTTTTGGATCTGGCATAGTCATGTAGTAGTGTCTTGTTTTAGAAACTTGTAATGTCTTTGAAAACTAGAAACTGTTGCAATATAAACTTGTCCAGTACCTGGATCTGCAAACCACTTTTTTTCTATTCTGATTCTAAATTCTAAATAATTTCCACCTAAATCTGTCATCTTTATGCAATGAGTATGGCTGTCTGGAATTCTAACTACAGTCTGGCTGTGCATACGTATTTAGTTGCTTACACATTGTATTCTTTCAATTTAAATGGAAGTAACCACTGTGTTGACAGTTTTTCAGTTTGAACAAGGTACAGATCTTACACACAAAAGTTGCTCTTCACAGTTGTACAACATTAAGGGTGGTTTACTCTTAAGATTATTTTAGTAAAATTACATAGAAAGTTTTTTGTGCGCATTATGTATAGCTGCATAAAAAGCGTAGGTCAGAAAGAAAAGCATTCTTTGATCAATTCAAGCTAAAATGAACTTATTTTTGTTCTTGGTGCCATGGCCTCATGCTTGTGTGGAAAGTTAGAAATGCCATATATGCATTCAGCTTTGAACTTGTTTTCAATTGCTGTGAAGTCATTAAAACTTTTATTATAATTTGATCCTTGTTCTTCATAGGTAACAATGATGTTGACAAGATCTGCAACTTCTCCATTTGCTCCCTTTGAGGCTGCATTAGGCCATATGTTCTTTGGCTTGCAAAAGACACCATCCAAAGTGAAGGGTGAAGGTGCTGCCTCTTCCAATGGCTCTTCAGTCTGTGACCAGTCTTCTGAACAACACTGTGATGGTGTTAAGAAAAGACAGACAAAGAAAACAGAATAAGTGGCTTAAAATCCTTGATGGTCATAACCGTTGAAGATGTTTGTATTTCAGATTAGGCTGGCAGAGAAGTTTCTTTAAAGCGAAATGCATGTGAGGAGAGAACAGGCCTATATACTACTGTGGTGGTGTTTGCCTTCAGAATGTGTTCTGTAAGCTACTGTTCAGATGTCTAAATGCACATGTTGGATTTGTAAGTTAAAAACTACAAATTTTTATAGTGTTTATAAGTTTACTAAATTTTGTATTTATTATAATTTTAAATGCATACATGCTAAAACAATATTTTCAAAATGTGACAATCAGCTTTGTTATTTTTTCTGATATATTACTTGTTTCACCTCTTCCCACCCCCCCAATTCTTACATTTCATTTGGATAGCATGGATTTGCACTTCTAAATGTTCACACTAGCATGTCCCAAATAAGAAAGTCATCATGTGAGTAAGGCTGAATCACATTACACTGCAATAACATGAAAATTTACTGAACTAATGCCTTTAACTAGAAAAATAACTGAATTACTGTTGTAATTCACATTGCACTGATCTAGATTTTCATAATTTACTTCAGTAAATATTTTCCATATTTTTCTATTTTTTAAAATAGGAGTTATCTGGCACTTTAAAAAATCTTTACAGTTAGCAAGTAGAAGTGTTTCAATATTTTTGTTGTTGGCTTACTTTGAAACTTTATTTGCAAGCATTTGATATATAGCTGTTTTTCATGTTACATAGGTGATTTACACGTGGTTTGTAGTTATCTTTCAGTTTGACTGGGACTAGACATCTCTGCCTGCACTTTAATGCAAGCATCCACATTTTTTTCTTTCCAAAGTCAAACATACTTTTAAAAAAGAATACTGGACAGTACATTTAGCTTGTTTCTCATGAGTTCAGCCCTATTATTCAGCTGGCTAATATTCAAGGGTCACCTCCTCCAAGCTCAGGAGCGATGCATCCCAGCAAAGAGGAAGTCAAGCAAAAACACCAAGAGGGCCCCATGGATTAACAAGGAGCTCCTGGGCAAAGTCAAAAAAAAACCCGAAGCTTACAGAGCGTGGAAGCAAGGGCTGGTAGCCTGGGAAGAA